AGTATTTTTTCACATCTACCTACTCCCTAGTATGTGCTCACGACAGGTGTAGCGTAGTGTGTATAAAGCCTAGCGCAGACCTGCGGTTTTTAGTTGCTCGTCGTTGCAACCTGCAACCGCAAGTGATCGGTCGATGTGTCACCGCGTGTGCGCACACATGCGATTTCGAAGCAATTTTAGAGCAATTTAGGAGCGATTGGGAGCGACGAGTCGCTCAAATTCAAACAAGTTTGATTTCTTGCAACTCGTCGCAAGCGATCAGAATCGCTACGGGTTGCAGTTGCACATTCCCGCAGACGTAGCGATTTTACAGCAATTTTTCCAGCGATACTAGACTCGCTGTCAAGTTGCATGAAAAAATCGCACGTCTGCGCTACTATAGGATAGCTATGGCAGTTGCCCGCTCAGGCCTTGACAGTGTCAATGAAAAACTGCGCAGTCTCATCTGTCCAGAACGCAAAGGGCGCGGTAAATAAGTTATTACTGTGAACAAACAGCCACAGGAATATTTAAGCTCATAAAACGCATGAGTTCAACTGCGTATATTGGCACAAAGCGCAAATAAAAATATACATACACAATTCATCTGCTTTGAACGACAAAGCAATTTTGTAGCGAAACGTAATTGACCGAGAAAGTAATTGAAGAGAAAGTACAGGTGCACGCTTTTTAATGTAGTCACGCTCATGAGTTCGTTATAATTGTTACCGAGAAGAAATGTCTACATTCACTACGATCATGGCATATTTTGCATATAATGCACGTTAGATCTCCCGTATACATATCACCGAATACCATCTATAATTTATATTTGCCTCTTGCACTTAGTCTATGCTCAATCTAAATGCTGATGCTCTGGCGAAGCAAAATCGCATCAACGTAAATTCTAAATGTCAACGTAAATTCTAAATGTCATATCATCATCCTCGTGCTAGAAAATCATTTGCGCGGGTTAAATGCATCATTCTCGTCTCTGCCATGCTCTACCTCGCTTTGAAGGGGTGTCGTGTATTTTAGTCGACGGATTCAAAGTCCAAGAGATTGGAAGATGCGACTCAAGCTCAAAGGACAAAAGCATTTGTTTAAGTTTAAGGCGATATCTTCACTGCCATGTTTCGATCGAGTTTGTTAATAGAGCTTTATTATCTTCACGTTATGTGTCATTATCAGTTGCAGCGTTTTTATGTGTGCCTTACAGTGCATGCTTGAATTAAATCTAAACCTGAATTCAAACAGGTATTTATTCCTACTGTTTGTTAGTTGTGTTTTATTGATGTTTGTTCGGGTTAAATAATGATGAGGGTTTCCATTCTCAAGCCTAGCGCGATGAATTCATTGAGAATTCATGTTTGTAGGGATACTATACAAAGACCGAGATCGTTAATTAAAATAATTGGTGTCTAAACATCGCGAATAAACATTTTAACTAGACCACTCGTAGAGCCACAGACCTCGCCGCAAGGCAGCTGGAATTCTTCACTGTGAATATTTTATTCATTAATTAATTAATGAAGTGAACAATTGTAATTGTATTGTAACGCTACAAAATGTAATAATTGTAAGATTACCACATTCTGACTATCCTGAAAATTTTATTAATTAATTAATTGGATCCGGATCACCACCAAAATCTCCATCAATTCTAAGTTAGGCGACTTTCTGACCTATCCTAAACAATTTTATGGCCAATCTGTCCATAATTTGCGCAGTTAGGCTGTAACAAAACCCCAAACCCCACAACACGACAAACAGTCAAACACTACAGCCGAGTGCAAAACATAACCTCTCTGCCCCGAACCCCCGGCCTTGGGGAGGTAACAGAATTGCGAAATTTTTACACTGATATGGCACAGTGGCAACCAAAGTCAATAAGGAACAAACATTCAGGTAGAGTCTTCTTAATTGTTAGGTTCTTGGGGTTTTTTACAAACAATAACCATTATATTGTTGAAAGTGTATTGTTAAGTTACCAGGATTATGCACATTAGCTATAGACTGTCGNATCGTTAGTCTCTGACAGTGCTTCTTAACCCATTTAAGTGTCATTCACCCTCGAGTCTTCATCACAAAGTTTCATGCACCCGCCACTAAATTTCCTTGTTTTGGGGAATTCTCGTCTTACTCACCCTTACACAATCTAACTTTAGATTGCCTAAAAACAGGGATAAAATCTCCTTAATATAGCTAGAATTTATGTTGCTTGGTGCAAATAAGCGCTGGTAGATTGAAATACAGTATATACATAGAATTCTAGTTCTAACAGAAAAGTAGCTAAATTGGCAACTTGAAGTAGAGTTACAGTTCAATAGTTGCGTATGGCGATCCTCGGGGATAATTGCTACTTTAAAATTAGAAAACCATAGGAAGAGAGGAAAAACATATCAAATATCCAGCTCCAATGCCATTAAAATATAAGAGCTTATGAGCTTAAGAGCGCCAAAATAATTTTATTCACCCTTGGGTGAACCATTAAAAAGCACTGATCTATCAACCTGTTCTGCTCGCATCTATGACAAATACGACATACGCTATACGCTCTCCTATGACACTATTTGTCATAGGAAGATTCTTCCTATGACAAATATTGTCATAGGAGATATGCTCGTATTTGTCATAGGAGTCTTGAAATCTGATTGGTCTGTTATTTTAACAACAAAATAAAGGCGGCGGGAATCAACTTCGTTCCGTTTTCAGCTGAAATTCACTGCTTGCGTTACTAATATTGTTAAAAAACTCCTATGATGCACACAACAATGAAAATTCATCTAAGCAAGTTGTATAAAATCTCGTATCGTGTCGTATATGTGGTGTTATTTGTTTACAAATAGGCCTAAATGTTATATATTTGTTAGTCAAAGAACAGATGAGATATGGACTTCGCGCTTTATTAAAACATGAAAAGGTTCTAATTTCAAGAACTTATTGTGCATGTTTTTTTTCAAAAACTACTTTATCATGCCTATAGATGCTGTCGAACCATAGATATTACATTGAAAATATAAATCTGTTACGTAAATTCATATTGATCCAAACTAACCGTACGATGGCGTTGTCAGCACCACTACCACTGGCACCAAAAAAGGTTGTTCAAGTTATTACAAAACTGGAGAAGACGGGCTAGAAGACAGTGTACAGTGAGTGATGAGTCCAACACGTCGAAAATCTGGTGGTTTTGGTTAGTATTGCCACAATAATAGCCAATATTAGTCAATAGCCAATAGCCATAATTGCCAATAACTGTAGTGTAAGGGTTACCCGGTTAGACTTAGAGACGAATTTTTGGCCGGGGGGGGGGTCACTATATATGCCGGTATTACCCCATATGTGCGTTCTCACGAAAAATAATAGGCCCTCTAGTGCAAACTGCACATTGGAAAACCCTACCCCCTCCCCTATTGCACACACAATTGAAGAATACCAGCCCCTATATTTGCATGCATACACAATGAAAATATAGCCCACCCGGCCCCTATTCAGGCTATTTGTGTATTGCATACACAATGAAAGAGTCCTACCCGGACCCCTACCCCCGATTGCGAGGTCTTGCAGACAAGTGGAGGGAATGGAGGGGGCCGGTGCTTGATTTGAACGATTCCGAGGGCTTATTGCGGGATTAGCTTTGTAAAGGGGGGCCTATTTGCTCCTGCGCGGGCCCGCTTTAGAAGTTGAAAAACCCTAACCCGCAAAATTTGAAACGCACATGGGGTAATACCGGCATATATAGTGACCACCCCCGGGATTTTTGGTCATAATTTTTCTACCCATTTTACTTTTACTTTTAGTTCAGTTGATAGATCGCAGCCATGCATGCATGGGCAGCTATATGGATTAGTAGATTGTGATGTATTTCGCCTCCCAAACAATTAAAAATTCCCGCATTAGTCAATTCTTAACGCAGGCATTCAATGATGGAAAATTTATAAAAGTGGTGATATCTCGGTTGTTAAAAATACTAAAGTAGGTGATTTTTTAAGCGGTTCCAAACCACGTACTCCGATTCCAAAAAGTTTTGTTACGTTTTAATGAAAGGAAAATAGGGTTCCTGGAATTTTGTTTAAATATCATATTTTATGAGTTATGGCTCTTTGTTTACGCAATTGTTGCGTTTAGAAATTCACTACAATTTTTTACATCTTTTTAACTTATTTCCTAAATTAAATAATTAAAAAAAAATTCCAGGAACCCTTTTTTAGTTCATATTATGAACAACTTATTGTTAAAAGTTTAGGTCTTAACTCTGCTGTTTCTGAGAAATAGCAAAAAAAAGCATGTTTTTGTATAAATTCACAATTTTTGCCGATTCGATTTGCCGACAAAATTTAGGGAGATGGGTACGTGTAGCATTGTACACCATGCTCAACAGGTGTAAGGTCAACATTCACCATGGCATAGGGAGAGTGTTTACTATGATACACCGACATGCTAACCTTGCTCTTTCTCATTGACTATTCTTCAAAATACTTCTATAATTCGACTTTACAATTAACACTCGCAAAATATAGTCAGTCTTGTAAAAATACATATATCGTATATAAATATTTTGAAAGCGAATACAGCAATAATTTTATTGGGATTGTATCTAAGAATTTACTTGGAGGCTTGGATTTCTTTGATAATTCACCACACTTCTACTAATCTAAATATTTGAACTACTTGCAGATCCCAGTGTTGTGGCATTAAAATCAATTGTAGAAAAGATAAACTGTTCTCATACTATAAAAAAGAGAGCAGGTAAAATCGGAAGAAGAACTCGCAAGCCTGGACCACAGCGCTCAACAGAATATAAGAGGAAAACAGGAAAGCAGGCATCATGTACGTTTGGATTTGCAATTACCTAATTTTTTATTGATAAACATCTTATATAAAAGAAAGTAATTTTTTAACTAATTTTAAAATATCTCATCTGTAAGACACAATTAAGGTTAAGTATTTACTAATAATATATGAATATTTAACTGATCAATAAAAGTCATGACTATGTTTTTTTGGCATTTTTATAGCGTCAATTGAGCCAGTTGCATCGACATCAGGATCAAATCAGGACTATGCTGAATGTGAGCCCGACATAGGTACAGGTGTATTTAACATCTTTAGCTCCAATTTCCTTTTCACGTATACAAATAAATAATTATGGGTTGCAACGTTTAATTGCAAATATTAAGTATTAATAATTAGTTAATTCACTGCAACTAATAATTAAATGGCAATGCAGTTTACATACCTCATTATAAAACACAGTGCTATTTTTCCTTTGCATTGTTAACTAGCCATGTGATAATTTACAATATCACCCGCTCAGACCGAAGGGTCCCAAAGTTGCTGGCGGAAGTGCATGAAGATTCTTCCTAATATTACTATTTATTGATAATCATTAAATATTAATATAATTTAACATTTAAATTTAATATTGGTATGTTTATTCGGTATAATAAAATAAATAATGACTGGCCTGCATGGAGGGTGATATTGTGGATAGTCATCTGCAATATCACCCTCCAAGGCCAGTCATTATATTTATAATGTCAGTTTAGTTTATTTAATATTTTTTAAATAATTATGAATTGATCATTAAAATGTTGTATTGAAGGCCTTCAAGCTCCTTTGATTGAAGTCATTGCTGCAATCCAAGCGGACCTCGCAAGTACAGCAGAGACCCAACCAAGTACCGCCTCCCGCTGGACAAAATTTAAAAAAAACGCCCAGGAAAACTGGGATAAAATCCGAGAAGGGCTTGTGCAGGCCAAGATAAAGGTAATTCATTGTGCCTTTTCAGGAGGGCTCTTCAGATTTCCAATGGAAGAAGTAGTTCTCGTAAATATTTATAAGGGGGCTATTTTGGGCTTGATGGGGACTATTTTTAATTGCCTCAGCTTGACATTACTTCCGTTTTCATACAATCTAATACACAATATAATATATAGTGTAAAGTTTTGTTTTAATCGCTGATAAATGATAACAGTGAATTACCTAACTACGACTAGTTCAGTTGTGATTTTGGCCAAGGACGATTTTTGACGATTTTTCTTCATTTCTCCATCGTAATTTTCTTGCGGTGCAGTTGAATCGCTCCCTGTGTATTTTTATCATTGCACTGAATGGCTTTTTGTTTAGCCTCCTAAAGTATGCTCTAGCGATAGAAGTATGTGGTGATATTTACATAGAGCTTAGCAGGTATTAATAAAGTGGTCATAGCACCACATGAATACTAACAATTGAATGTTTATGTATTCCATTCTACCCTAGGCCAGATATAGTGAAAAGGGGATATGTTGGGGCTGTAAAGCACCAAATGGCATTATTAAGTGCCACACCTGTAGCACTGGAGGATTGCTATGCAGCACATGTGACAGCAGCACCCATGAAAAGATGCCATTTCATGATAGGGTGTTGATGATTGGGCATCACCTTGTCAGACTTGGCATCAACCAACACGTCTTATCATCAGTTGAGGGTCCATTGATTGAAACCAGAGGTAAGGTATTTAAATAGATATGTCCATTATTAAAACAGATAGACTTACAATGGTAATATGTTAAACAATGAGAACATATAAAAATTAAGAGGTAAACTATCGGTATGGTGTTAATGTGTCTGTAAAAATGAGTTAAAATTATACACTGCAATATGCTCAAGAGGGAAAAAGCTCACTATGGACTTCATATATCATTTGATTTATTTATGCCGCTTTTATACGGCGCACGACTAGCCCGCTTCTGAAGCGGGATAATTGGGGTGGTCGTGTCTTTCAGTACACCAAAGTGTGGGAGGAACCACATGTTTCTACCATTGTTTATGTCATCTGCCATTTCGTCTTGGGATACAAGTCTTGCGACGCCTCGGGAAAGTTGGTCATTTATCTGTTCACAGTAGGTTTCCCATTCCTTTTGACGGTTTCGGAACTGTTTCTCGAGGTTTAGGAGCCGCTTGACAGCATAGTCATAGTTGTTTGGGAGTTCTTCCGGTGACTTCCTCCAAGGTAGGCTGATCTGATATGTTCCATCATTTAAACTGGTGACACTTTGTTGCATGGAATCTGTCGCCAGCTTGTCCATCTTCTCAGCTGCACATTTACATTTCTTCGGTTCGATCCCCATGCGTTCGATACCCAGAAAGTCCTCTATCTTACTGATAGCAGTGACTTGGGTGACGTTCACAGCGGTGTTCACTATAGCTTCGTTATCTCCTCTACCACCTTGCAGATACCAGCCAAGGAAACATCTAGAAGCAAATGGATCGTCGTCACTTGGGCCCACAACATGTTCTATCGGAGCAAGTATGTCACCATTCTCCACACCCAGCAGGACATCTATGGTTTCATGTGGGGGCTCTACAATCTCAATATTAGCGAGGCGAGGGTACTTGCTGTATGTGTGAGTTCGTGATGACAGGGACATCTCCACATGGTTTCTTCATTTCTGTCAGTCGAACTTGACGATAGAATGTCCCTTCTAGACTCGCTAAGACACACTCCATGACACGTAATTTTTGATTGATGACATCGCCTTCGACTGTAGTCAAACTGTAATTCTGCATGTGTTCTCTCGTCGACTTCGGTACTATTCCCTCACGTATCAGTGATATTTGGCTACCTGTGTCGAGGAGGGCTCGTACGAGGGTCTTCTTCTTACCGTGGCAGATATATGCCATGACTGTAGGCAGCACACAGAAGATCCTTTTCTTTGACACCATGGAGGACTCACCAGTGATCTGGTAAGAGTTCTTCTGTGTCGGACGGAATTCACGGGCACTGGTATTTAAGTCTCTACTATTTCCAGAATTGCCTGATCTTCTCTCGAAATGTCTATAGCCTTCTGTGCCATACACACGAGGACAAATCGATACGAAGTGTGTATCTGCACTACAGGTTGGGATTGAACATGGCAAGATAAACTGACACTCATCGTAGTTCTATGGATATTTACTAG